ATTCACAAGACAACTCCAAGAAAACTACGGAGTTACACACAACATATTATTCAATTAGTATCACCAACTAATTAATTTCGAAGGGCCGGATATATCTCTAGTGTGGAGGTTGGACTAAATTTCATCATCAAAAGAAAACTAGCTACTTACTGATTATTGAATCTATGAAGCATTTTTTTTTTACGAAGGAAGTATAACTTCTAGCCTCTGCACCAACTAAACATTTATACAACCATATTTGTGGATACCAGATTATGCCATGCCTACATTTTTTTTCTCCCTCTCTGACATTACTTTGTATCATTAGCACTGGATTTTTCCCTTTTATGATTTTATTTCTGTGCAATTTTACAAGGTGATGGAACTATTGTCACTATAATATCCTGTGTGCAATATTGATATCGTTCAGTTACTCATATTTTCTTTCTGAAGTCAACTTAATACCACTGAAAAAAACAATAGGAAAATTGAAGGATTTCAATCTTAAAAAAAAATCCTACAAAGGTCTTTGAAATAAAAGATTGAATCATATCCTATCCTTTCAAATTCATATGAAATGAGCAATCCTACAGAGATTTTTGGAGCAAACTAACGTTACTCATCTCTTTTCAAATTGCATCCATGTTCTGGCTACAAGGTACATGAGTAAAAAGGCGCATTTTTTTCTTTGAATTTCGATTTTGCACTCAATGTTTTTATGTTCTAAATCTCTGGCTATAGTAGCCGGAGATAGCGGATGGGGAGGTGAACAGCTAGGATACCTCAATTTTAGCGATATGTTTTATTGGCCGCTGATAGCTGCACTTAGCTGAAGATAGCCACTAAAATAGCTAAATATAACGGCACTTAGCTGTGACTAAAAAATTTGGAAAGTAAAACTGAAAATGGGCTTTTGATGTTCGTGGCCCACGAAGTTCAGCCCAAAAACTAACCCTAAATCTCCAGTCAGATGATTCGGCTCCTATCCTCTCCCACTCGTGCGGTGGCATCTTGCGGAGGCAGCAGCGACTCTTGCGGTGGGGGCGGCGACTCCTCCCCCAAGCAGCGGCGTCGGCACCTTCCCGGAGCAGCAGCGGCAGCGGCGGTGGCTGTTGCGGCAGCAGCGGCTGCTGCTTCTCCAGCGGGCGGCAGCTGCTTCTCCCGACAGCGGCTGCTGCTTCTCCAGCGGGCGGCAGCTGCTTCTCCCGACAGCGGCTGCCACCATTCCTGTACATGTATTCATGCCCTGTATCTGTATGATCTATGAACTATGAAAGTATGAATTACGAACTATGAACTCTATGAACTCTATATATGAAGTATGAATTATGAATTGGTGATAAACTTTGATATTTGAATTGGTGATGAACTCTATGTGCAATCAAGTGATATGTCAATTTTTAGTCCAAGTTCTGTCAAAATTTTGAATTTTTTCTAACATTTTCGAAAACCGCTAAATATATTAGCTGCCGCTATAGCTGGCTATAGCTGCTCTTAACTATTGGAGAGCTCAACCGCTAAGAGCCTTAGCCGAAGATTTAGAACATTGTTTACAGGGTCCCCATAGCAAATTCCATGTTTTTTTCCTTTAATTCGGAATATAATTAATCCTGAACACAGGAATTGGAAAAAGGATGGATGAATTGACGTGCCATGCTGAAATACAAAATTAAAGTAAAAAAGGAAAGCGAGGAAAGAGGAAGTTCCAAAATTGATATTCCTTTCTGAAAAGTATGCCTTCAAGCCTGTTAATGGCACGGCATAGAAGTTCTCATTGATAGGATTTGTAAGGTCTTTATCTTTGGTTGTAATCAGCTATTTGCTACGAAAGTGCATGTAATCATGACCTAAGTAGCACTCAAAGATCCTAAGTTAAAATTTTCATAGGAGCGAATTTTCGATTATTGGGTTGTCCGAGGGCTAGGCTTCCAATTTAAAAAGGAATTTTAGATGGGTTGTTTAAGAGGCTTAGTTTCCAATTTAAAAAGACATCATATATCCGATTGGATGTAGAAGCCGGGTAAAAATTACCCTTCTCTAAAAAGATAGATATATGCTTTATTACAAACAGTCTAAATGGACAAATTATGAAACACAAAGCTATTAAAAAGTGCATTCAGCATTGTTTTTGAAGGGACAGAAGGGGACCTACAATGGAAAAATGCACAATTTCTCAAATTCTATGTACAAGTCTTTATGGGCCAGAAACTAATAATGCATATTTTACATCGGTTTTCGTTAGCATGTTTTTCAAACTAATAAACGGTGTGTGTCTTGCGAAAACTTTCCATATAGAGTTGCTCTCAAATATCCAATAAATTCATTTTTCAAGTATGTAATAATTAAAACTTAATTAATCATACGCTAATAACTTTCTCATTTTTGTGCCCTTACTTAATCCTAATCTTCATCTATCTCAAACGGGGACATATGCACCATTTTTCAAAATCCTTGTGAAGTCTTCTAGTCTCCTACTAACATGGGAGAAACTTGGTTACCAAGTCACGTTACAGCTCCGTTGCTCCGTTGCCCAAGAAATTTCCACAGCTCTTGTCATACAATAAACTTGTGTCAATCCCCTGTATATAAATAACACCATAACGCAGGAACAGACACAACTACAAAACAATAGAAAGAAGGGTCTAATACAAAGATTCAGAAGCAGATAAAGATGGTTCTTGGCCTGGACTGCTTTGGTGTTCTTGAGAGGAAGAGGTCAAAGCCATCACCAAAGCAGCAGGAAGCTGAAGATGCAAAGATGCAGAAGGGAGCAGTAGAAGTAGGAGGATCATCAAAGGCTGGGGAGAAGATGGAAGAGAAGGAGAAGAGCAAGAAGGGGAAGGAGTGCAGAGGGGCTCCTCTTCTGGTGCCTCACTTTCCTTGCCGTTCTACCCATGGCCTGCTCTAGTTTCAGTATCATTTTGTTCTTTCTTTCTTTCTTCCCTTGGCCTTTTTCTTGGAGGAGAATGCTTGGCTGATGAACACTGTGTTAGAGGCTTTGTTATAAAAGTTAGTTGGCATAGCGGAACAGCGACCTATGAAAGATTGTTCTTTCATAAATTAATTGGGCATATTCTAGGACAGAAGAAATTGGCATATTGAATCTGTATATTTTGGTACTATCATGTTGTTTTCCTCTAGATATAATTTTCTATCATGGTTTAGTTTCTGTTTCTATGAAATGATGAACTGCAGAGTTAATGAATTATGTGACGATGAATTATACAGCCATGGCTGAGAATTAAAATATAACAATCTAGGGTGGATATTTTGTGATGTTCAAAACAGTAAGCAAATCTGAATTTTTGATAGTTCCGTTTTGAAGAGTACAGAGTTCTTTCTGAAATCTGAATTCATATATGTGCTATATATCTCTGTTCTTTTTGAAATCTGAATTTTTACAGTTCCGTTCTATAACTGAAAGTAAGTAATATGATACATACTGATATTAACGTACATGATCGAAGACTGTTTCTTCAGCAAAAGTAGTACGGGAAGTTTCAGAAAAGTTAGGGCTTAAATGTACTACTAATATATACCTGTCTGATCATGAAGGTACACCTTGAAGACGATAAACAAATACTCCATCTGTCCCATAATATTGGGGACTTTGAGTTTTTGTTTGCACTGTTTGACCACTCGTCTTATTCAAAAAATTTTGAAATTATTATTTATTTTTTTTGACTTACTTTATTATCTAAAATACTTTAAGCACAATTTTTCATTTTTTATATTTACATAAATTTTTTTGAATAAGACGAGTGGTCAAACAGTACAAGAAAAAACTCAAAATCCCTTATATTATAGGACGGAGGGAGTATTTGATTATACAAATAGCCCCTGTACGAAGAGATTATGCCCTTGAAGACGAGAAACAAACATTTTATTATACAAATAGCTCATGTACGGAGAGATTATATCTAGTATTTGGAACAACAACAAATCAGTATTTTAACTAAACCAATATTCGGTTGCAACAACAGATAAAATAAAGCTGTTAATATTTTTTTTACCCGAATCATCATTCAGGATTCATCAGTAACATCTATAACAAACAATCTCTCTTTCGTATTGTTTTGAAAGACTCTGTTTTTCATTCTTTTGTCTTTCTTCAAAAAGCCGGGTAGTTACCTGTTTTGTAGAAAAAAAGGAACAATCTTTTCTGAGCAATCAGGATTTCAATACCACCTTTTATAAATTGGCATTAAACAGCTTAATATCAAAAGACACAAATACAACTGCATCACCTTTTTCAAAATGTACTTGATTTCCTCAACATGAATGAAACATTTTAGAACAGTGACTTCTAGACAGTGGACCAAACACTGTGAAACATCTAATTGAGCAGGTAAACAGCTCTATCAACCTGACCAGTAAAGACCATGCAACTTTTCTGAAGAGGCAAAATGACGGCCCCATTAACTTGCTCCCATAACTCTGTACTCCTCTTCCTTTGCCTTTACAAGCCTCCAAATCAACCCAGCTGTTCCAACACACACATGAAAAGAGAAAAGTAGTACACAAATGGATATGGTACTTGCATCCAGGCTTGTAAAAGACTCTAGTTTTGGTCAAGGCAAGCATCAAGAACCACATGCATTGATCCAACCTATTCTCTGCAATATCTGATCATATACATAAGCTAAGAGTAAATTCCACAAAATTTAAATACGGTGTATCACAGAACAAAGAGTATCGCAAAGCTACCTATTCAAGACGATGTATCACAAAACTACATTTTAGCACTAGATTTATCGTAGAACCATATGTTTAAGATAGACTATCACATAGCTACAAATTTAATAATATAGTTTTGTGAAAATTTCTACGTATGTTTGTTATCATCGGTAAATTTCAAGATCCGCCTCTACCATATAACCATACTATATCGTTAAGATACTATGGTGGAATACATATTTAATGTAGAGGCCGGAATAAATTCCATTATCCGAAAAAAATATCTTACAAGATCTACACCCATGCTGGCTGCCACTCACCAGAACTATGGGCTATAAATACAACTTTGCCTTCATTGATGCTAAGGCCCCCCATCACCTGCAACCTCACACTTGTGCTTTTGCTAGCTTGTCCCTCCTCAGAAATGGCCATCCTGGCGTCCATGGCGGCAATGGCGTTCTTGCTGCTGATGGAGGCAATGAGCGTGTCACACGGCCAGCTTCAGGTCGGGTTCTACTCCGACTCCTGCCCCGACGCTGAGGACATCGTCACCGCCGCCGTCCAGGACGCCGCCGGCTCCGACCCCACCATCCTCCCCGCCCTCCTCCGCCTCCAGTTCCACGACTGCTTCGTCCGGGTACGCGACGTCATTCTGTTTCGCGCTCGGTGGCGCGCCAGCGCGCCGGCGATCGACGCGGCGTCTGACGGTGTTGCGGCGTGGCGTGGCGTGGCGTGGCGTGGCGTGGCGTGCAGGGGTGCGACGCGTCGGTGCTGATCCGGAGCGCGCGGAACGACGCGGAGGTGAACAACAACAAGCACCAGGGGCTGCGCGGGCAGGCCGTCGTGGACGCGGCCAAGGCGGAGCTCGAGGACCAGTGCCCCGGCGTCGTCTCCTGCGCCGACATCATCGCGCTCGCCGCGCGCGACGCCATCGCCATGGTAAGCATCGAGAACAGAGACTTTGTGTTCGACGCGCGCCACGAGATAGGTGTTTGATGCGTGTCTCGCCGTGTCATGTTCGTCAGACGGGCGGGCCGTCGTTCGACGTGCCGACGGGGCGGCGCGACGGGCTGGTCTCCAACCTCCGCGACGCCGACGTGCTTCCGGACGTCGTCGATTCCATCCAGGTGCTCCGCTCCAGGTTCGCCGCCAGCGGCCTCGACGACCGCGACCTCGTCCTCCTCACAGGTACGCGCCGACACTGACACTGACAATCCGTCCATGGCTTCACCACCTCCATTGACACGATCAATGGCGTCGCCACCGCCAATGCAGCGGCGCACACGATCGGCACGACGGCGTGCTTCTTCGTGAAGGACAGGCTGTACAACTACCGCCTCCGCGGCGGCGGCGTCGGGTCGGACCCGTCCATCCCGGCGGCGTTCCTGGCGGAGCTCAAGGCGCGGTGCGCGCCGGGCGACTTCAACACGCGCGTCGCGCTGGACCGCGGCAGCGAGCGCGACTTCGACGACTCCATCCTCCGCAACATCCGCTCCGGCCTCGCCGTCATCGCCTCTGACGCCGCGCTCGACGCCAGCAACGCCACGCGCGGCCTCGTCACGGCCTACCTCGGCGCCGCGTCGCGCAGGTTCGAGCGGGACTTCGTCGCCGCCATGGTGAAGATGGGCACCATCGGCGCGCTCACCGGCGACGACGGCGAGGTCAGGGACGTGTGCTCCCAGTTCAACACCGACTGATTGATCGATCGATCGATCCATCGGTCGAACACTGTACATTTCTTCTGAAAGATCAAATCGATTCAAGAATTCAACAACAAATGAAATGATATACTCCATGAAAGAAAAGATTAGGATCTCTCTCTTTCTGTGTGTGTGTTCGTGTGTGTACTCCAAATGTGATACAAATTTCACATTGAAATTCGGCAGAATTTGAGGAATTAAGCTTGAAAGTTTGCTGGAGAAATCAGTTTGGTCGATTGTTCGAGTGGCGAGATCATGCAGCAATGCAATGCGAGTACTCTGAAGTTGGTCTGTCTCTGCTTGATCAGTGAAACACTGTACAATTCTTCAGAAAGATCAAATCAATTCAAGTAGTCAACAAATGAAATGATATACTACTCCATCAAGGAAGATTTCCTCACTCTGTTCCTCCGTACTAATTTTAAATCTGCCACACAAATTTCAAATTGTACTTCGAAATTCGGCGGAATTTCAGTCTGTAGGCTTGTTTCAGTTGTGAATCTCTATGCAGAAATGTGATGCAAGGCAAGTACTCTGAATTATTTAGGGGTTACATTTCTGCTCGGTGCAGATTGGTGTCTTGAACGATAATAATAACCTCGCATGTTAATGCGAGTTAATTCCGGTTGTTGAGCTAAGCTCTGATGATATGTACCACGCAGAACACCACAATCAATTGCTGTCAAGAACAGTTGAAATAAGCGTTAATATTCTCTGGTCACTGTCATCCGTGTTACTAGATTGTGATCAGTCGTTGTCATTTGCATGTAGATCATTAGATACGTACCCTGTAGCCATGTTAAGGAGGTATGTATGACAGTGCATTTAGCTGCTGTCTCTCGAGAGTGTTCAACGATCGATATGGTTGCAAGGAGGACAAGTTCTTCCAATTGAACACATGGCAAGTAGTAGAGATTAATTCGGAGCCCATACGTAGTGATGGCAATTATTTGATTTGGCAAAAACAACATCGATATTAAACATATCAACTCCATACGTTTTATATTATTATCCGTTGTATTGTCTTTTTTTCTTCTCAAACTTCGTTAGATTTGATCGAATTATAGAAAAATTTAGTAACATGTACGACACCAAATTAGTTTCATTAAATGCAATATTGAATGTAATTTGATAATGTTTTTCTAAAAAAATATTATTATATTTTCTATAAACTTTATCAAATTTTTTAAAAAATGACTAGAAATAAATCAAAGCGACTTATAATATAAAACGGGGTATTAGGTATTTGCCTTTTTTTATAAAAATACGCATTTACATTTTGAATAGACAACCTTAAAATCTCTATCCAACTTTTGGTGCCACACACCACCCCTAAATCAAATAAACCCTTTACCACTGTGAGCTCAAACATTTGAGGTAGCCAAGTGCAGACAGATCTTGGTACAAATTATTTGCCAACTTCAGAAAAATCGATTATCTTGGAAGTGGTTGACCACTTGATTTTGAGCTTTGTCGGTATCACGGATTTTGATAAACGTTGACCACTTTTCGACAAATTTTGATCAAATTTAGTGTATAACATTTGAATTTGTTTGAAAGCATTCAAAATTCCAAATGAAAATTAATTTCGAGCCATATCGAAACATTGGAAAACCGCGAAAAACTGACCGGCTTTCGTTGGCTTTGTGAACCTGCGCCGGGCGTGGCGTCGGCTAGTAGCATTGATGCCAAGTTCCGCTAGACCTACCAACGACTCCCAAACATGGCAGTGCGTGGATCCAGCAAAATTGAGGCAATTAAGCTAAGCTCCATAAAACGAATATGCAGCCGCCCATCTATACCCATGATGCTGTGGCCCAATTCCTCCAGAGCTTAGCTAGCTTAATTAATAAAACTAGAATATTAATTAATTAATACTATTTCCTCCATACTCCATCGTAAACACATTAATTGTCTCGACATTCGTAGTAGAACGGGAGTGTTAAATTAACTGTCTCTCTCTCTCTCTGGGTGTGTCTGTCTCTGTCTCGCAGTTGTACTTGAGAACGTGTTTTATATTCAGATAGTGTAAGCTGTGTGCGGACTCACGTGGTTGCCTTATATTCTGTTCGAAGAAGTTTAAGATTCCGAAAGTGGTTGATAAAAATAAAAAAAAAACTGAATTTCAAGTTTTTACCCTCTACTACATTTTCTGAATTCTACGCTATATATACTAATTTCTCATAATTAATCCATGTGAAAATCTAGATTGTACGTGAAGCTGCAGTTGTCAGAAACTTCAATACAAGAAACTCGCTAACGGTGCAAGCAGGGTTCATAATTCTGACGAAATGAATTTCGTGAAATTTCGACACGGCTCGGAATTAAGTTTCGATTGAAATTTCAAAGGTCAAACAGTAGATTCAGTCGAAATTTATCGAAAATCGTGATACCGATAGAGCTCGAAATTTAGTGGTCAATCAGTAATGTAAACCCTGGGTGCGAGTTCGTGCACGGACGGCGCTCGCGGCGGCGGCTCCCCTGTCTTCCCCTCCGGCGCGTGGCCGGCCGGATCAGGCAGGCTAGCACGAGCGGCCGTTAGTCATTAGCGCCAAGTTGGTGGTGATCATCACTGATGATGGCCGGAGAGCCCGACAACGGCGGCGTCACGGGAATGCCTTTGGGATCTTCGGGCGTAGGTCACGGGGGGTCGTGATCCGTTTGCAACTTGGCAATTTGCACGTTGGGAGCATCCATGATTTTGGACGGGCATGCTTTGTTTGTTCGTTTTTTTTTATTTTTTTGAGTTTTGGGTGTGTAGCCGGCGATCGATCGAGCAGCTGCTGCTTGATGCATGCATGTTGGTCTGGCTGTCTGGCTGGCTACGGGTGATCGATCAGATATTCAGATGGGATGGTAGTCTAGCTAAGGGTCTGTTTGGCACAGCTCCAGCTCCAGCTTCACCTTTCCTGGAGCTAAAGTTCACCCAAACAGTTTCAGCTCTATTAAAACTAAGATATCTTACCAAATGAACTAGAGTTCTAGAGCTGGGTTTAATCAATTCCATAACTCTTACTTCAGACCCAACTCCTAAAACTAAATTGAGAAGTTGTAGCTGTACCAAACAGGCCCTAAGCTAAGCTAATTAAGCTGGATCGAGATGATGAAAGTCATTAGCGTGTGATAAATTAAATTTTAATTATTAATATGATATTTTAAAACAGCTTTTATATAGAAAGTTTTCGTATGAAATACAATGTTTATATTAGCAGTTTGAAAAATATTCTAACGAAAACTGAGGTACAATTTGCATCTTGAACGAACAGGGCCACAGTCGCACACACTCACCACAGTCCATAGGCAGTCAGGCTATAGAGGAGAGCCAGACGTCTCATCTGCATTGGCCGTTTCTGCTACACTTTCTCTTTTAGGCCTTGTTCGGTTGGGATCGGGGCCCAATCCTCGTGGATCACCCCGGCGAGGAAACAATCCCGGCCCATCTGAAATTGTGTGTTCGGTTAAGCCCAGTCTGGGTTTTACCCCGGCCTATCCCGGCCTTTCCCCCTCACCCAGGCCCGGGAAAAAAATCAGCTTCTCGTGTGGCGTGGAAAAATTCCTCACGACGGGAGCGGGAGGCGACGCGCAACACGCGCAGCGGCAGCACGACGCGGAGGCGATTCGAGGTGGCGCAATGGCGGGGACGGCGCAACGCGGAGGCAACGGCGATGGTGACGGCACGGCGCTCTCCTCCGGCCGCCATCTTCTCTCCGGTGAGCACATAGCATTTTCCCCTCTCCCCTCCTCTTCCAAAGCTAGGGTTAGGGTTTTCTTCTTTTCTCCCTTTCCCGTCGTCGTCGTGATTCGTCGTCCTCCTCCTCGTATTCTGCTCGATCTAGTGAGTTCTTGATCTGGGTGAGGATTAGTGAGTTCTTGATCAGATGGGGAATGAGCTTTTTTTCTTGGTTGGGTGGGGATGAGTTCTTGATTCGCCACCGCCGCTGCCGCACGTCCTAAACCATATCATTAGTTCTTGATTTGGGCGTGGTGAGTTCTTGATTGCTGCATTTCCCGGTGAGTTCTTACTCGTGGTGAGTAAGATCGGAGCTGCGAAGGCTGTCCATGGCAATGCAGAATGTAATAACTCTCTGGAGGTTAGAAGAGGGCAACTTGGGCTTTAAACTGTATGATTTCTCTGACATAAAAGATGCAACTAATAATTTCTCAAGTGAAAGTTTGCTTGGAAAAGGTGGTTTTGGATCTGTCTACAAAGTAAGTTCAGATTTCAGAGTCACACTCTATTACCAGTAGCTAGCAAGCAAGTGTTTAGTGTTTTCAAGGCTGAATTGTACTTCCACACGTTCTAATTTCTAGAGAGAGAAACTAGAAGAAGGTTGAGGTGGTCATCCTTTTCTACATTCACCATATATTTGTTATACACTTGAGTCTGAAACTTTGTGCATTATAATGTTCACTGGTTTTATTTTATGTATGTACAGTAAGAAATGGATTGTTGCATTAGTTCAGTTCAACATGTTTTCATAAGATTATACTTCATGTCATGTGCAACATGTTTAAGAATGCTGAAAGATGACAAGATATTAATTTTTGTGATGTGAATATAATAATTCCTCTATCAATTTGTTTCTGTCTAAAGTGTTATTATGAATATTAATCATGCATGATGAAGATGATCATTTACAACTAGCTTATATGCTATTTTTAGAAGAAAAAAAATCATTTTTTGTTTGTGTGGCATGGCAAAAGGCAATGCTTGCATAAGTTCCTTGAAGTACTGTAGATTAAAGTTAATGGTATTTGTGTATACCAATGTCACCATATGGATGCATGGGGGAATAGGAGCATGTTGCTTAATTTCTGGATCATTGTTCTAAACATGGTTAAACTTCAAAAAATTGCAAGTAGTTTGTATGGTCTTCCATACAAAACTATATTAGATAATGCTTAATTTTTAGTTGTTATAATCTACCTCTCTTTGGGGTTACCCACAAGTAGTTGTCAATTGCTGGAATTTTAAATTACCATATACATATCCTCAATTAGCTCTATTATGGTCTTACATAATTTTTCGTAATTCTCCTGTGATGACAGTTGGAGAAGATGTTGATGATGGTGTAAATTATAGAACTGGAAGGCTGGAAGGATCTTTTTGGTGCAGGGGCGCTGAAGGATTAATTATGCATCTGCACTGCACTTCTTTCACTATGTCTAAAATATTTATTAAGCATAGACTGTAGAAGCTAGGACTGATCGATATTCTAACTTATATTAGATAATGCTATGTTTCGACTGAAAAGCAAAAGTGACATTTGATGTTCATTGGAGATTACAGTAATTACTCCACTGAGTATATTTTGTTTGTACGATAAGATATTATCAAATTCCGTGGCTATGTTTGATGCTTCCTCCGTTTGATGCTCTGAAGTTGATGCATATAAACTGCCAAGCTGAACATCAACTCAATAGCAGCGTTGAAGCAGGAAAGCACCTATCCTGCTATTGTTGATCTTGACCAAACCGAACACATGGATTTGAGAGGGGGATTAGTGGGTAGGGAGGGATTCATCCCAAACAGGGATTAAGTGACATGAGAGGGATTCACTCAATCCCTCCCTGGATTGATTCTCCTTGGGGATTAAATCCCTAGTAACCGAACAAGGCCTTAGGCATCCAATCTAAACCGCTATGCATGTTTTCTGAATACCGCTGGTCGTACGTTGGTTTGTGAAAAATCGATCGGTTTCAGTTTGTTTTTTGTCGTACTGGTCCAAAGTCATCGGTTTCTGGTCTCGATAGTCGACGAGGAGCAGTTTTCACTTAAAAACGAAAAAGATAATCCCTAGCATTCATATATCAGTTTGTGGCTTTTCCACGCGTGGATATATAGGATTATTATTGTCTATTGTTCACATTATATTGCAACCACTTTCGCATGCACTGAGAATTGAGATCTTTCCATCATTTGTGCATGCCAAAAAAAACAAGTAACCTACTACTCCATTTCAAAATATATTTCAAAATATATGATATCGTTGACTTTTCTCATAACCTTTTGATCTTTCGTCTTATTAAAAAATATAAATACTATTTATTTTTGTTGTGATTTTTTTATTATCAAATAAAATATAATATTAACTTATAATTTTATATATTTATATTAAATTTTTGATAAAACGAATAATCAACCGTCGTGAGAAAAATCGACGACATCATGTATTTTGAAAAGGAGATGTATTGGCATGGATCCATTTCCTTCCTCTTCCCGGGGCGGCATCTCCTGCATGCGACTCGTCTCGCTCATTAGGCAGTCAGACACGCATCGCTGGCTCATCTGGCCTTTTCTTGCGGCTGTCTTTGTGTCTGTCTCTCTTTGTTACACCATCACGTGACAGTACAAAATATCCTGTCAAAAAAATAAAGAAAAAAAGGAAAGCCATTCGCGCTCCTCTAGTGCCGTCTAATTACAGGGGCCCAAGAAATTTTGATCCTGATCTGGGCCACACTGCTACAGGCTGCGCTGGCCCAAAGACAATGAGCTTGTTTGGTTGGTGCCCTGAGCACCATGCCTGAGATATTTACAAGCCTGAGAAGCATGTGAGAAGCAGATGAAATTTGTCTGGCCAGGCAGCCTAACACTTTGCTTGTTTGGTTGCACAGAGCTGCCTGAGAGAACAAAAATATGATTAGGCTTTAGATGGTTAATGCTAACACAGAAATGGGAAGAACCAAATTGTGGCACGGATACAGGACCACATTGGTCCAATTAGAATCCATCTACTAGCACACAGCTATCCAGAAACAAATTGTTTGCATGCCAGGGAAAAAGAACAGCATCAAGGAAGAAAGAAAAGAGAACACATGGGAAAAAAAATCCCCAAATCGACTTTTCCATCAGATTTCTTTCGGTTTCTTACCGACAGCTTCAATCAATGCAATGATTCGTGGTGGGATTAGGCCATTTCCAATCTAATGAATACGATAATGTACATAGCATTAAATAAATTATCACCTAGGATAAAAAATAATGTGGCTAGTGAATAAATGAGAAAAGAGAAAGAAACCAGGTCTTACATGAGACATGATTTCTACACAACATCCAAGACATTATACGAGATAAGTAGCATTAAATTTATGTATGAAAAAGTGGTATTTGCATTGAAAGAGTAGTGTCTAATACTAGTTTCTTGATGATGTGGAGTTTATGGAAACTATGTCTAGTGTTTTGGGTTGGGACTGGTCTTAGCGACGTCTTTGCGCCACAGCGGCTGCTTTACGCAGATAGTGAGATCCAATGAAGCGCAGCAGTAGAGATGACGGGATCCAACAAGGCATCTTGACGGCAGCTCCACGTGGCGATGGAATGTAGCGGCTTCAGAAGCAAGCTGTGGCGCTGGCTTCAAACGAGTAGCGACATGGGTGGTGATGGCTTCGTACACTTCTCAGGCCAGGCGTATTCTTCTCAGGGCAGCAACCAAATAAGCCCATTTATCGCCCCAAATTATACCACAAAGGTATATTTGATCATTACTAGGCCATTAACAACGTGTGTCCTCGGCTTCGTGCCCCTAGCTGCCATCTAAGCTTTAATGTTCCCGTAGAGGCTAGGAGGAGCCTCATAGGGTGTCAACGTACCATGTAGAAGATCTGATTGCCTCAGTTGAGATGAAGAGGTTTAACAGAGATAAACGGAAAAACGTGGATCAAAAGCGTCAATTGAGAGAAAGAGGATCCACCGAGAGAAAGGGAGAAAAAGGAGAGCAAGCGTGGGCCTAGTGAGACCACCGTGTGCATTGAGCAAGCAGTACCTCAAAACCATCCAAATCTACATAGATTCATTCTCCTTTCATTTTAAAATAAATAAACTTAGAACGGAATATGACACATCCTATCTAGAACAAATGAATCTGAATTAGATTTATAGTATTATGATGTGTCACATTCTATATTATATTTGTTTGTTTTGAGACGGAGGGAGTAATTTTCTTTTTTTTTTTTTTGCCATGGCTGCTGCAAGAGGATACAAGCAATGTTCATGCCATTAGTTTCATAGTCACTGCTCAAATTTTCGCCTGAAACACAAGACACTTTTATGTGTGTAATCATCAGCTGATCATTGATCAATTCAAGGGTCAGCTGTGATTTCTTGGAGGATAAATAAATTTTAAATAAAACAAGGATATTGTAGGAAGTAATTGTAAGAATTAAATAAAAAGATTGTGATCTTTCTGCAGTATAAAAGTCTGTTAGCAAACTATATATAAAGCTAAAGTCAAAATCTTTGGACGTCATACACCCAATGTTTTTCTCATATCATCACAAAGAAGTTTAAAATTAGAACTGTGGCTGAAACAGAGAGACGGAAAGCAACATATATGGCTTGAATTTTCCGCAAACACTATTTTGATCGAAACCAATTGCAACTTTACACTCTGATGACATCAATACAATTTGGGGCAATTACCATCTACAAATTAAAAAGCACACGGCACATCACTATACAATACATACTTAATTTGCTAATCATAACATTATACTATACCCAAAATATCAACTATACATGAAAAATAATAATATCAGGGTCTACTCCTTGGGGAATACTAATAATTTGTTGATTGATATCCGGCAAGGAGAGTGCAATTCTCTTGGCATTCTCCATATATGTTGCAAATTTTGTATGATTTGGCTCGGGTTTATTATTATCTGATTTATCTTCAGCCTTGAACTGGAGATCTTCACCTAAAAGCACACCAGTGGCAGCAGATAACTCCTTGGCTGCCTGTTTACTGAACGTCCAGTTACTGCTCCTCCAATCGAACTTGTACAACGAGAGGAATCGATGACCATATGCTGCTAAAAACTCAATGGCATCTAGGATGAATTTGAATTCCTCTTTGGAGATGTAGTAAGCAAAACTCAACCTGGTCCACCCGGGCTTAAGTCCAAGATACCCCTAAAAAAAATCATGACCATGAACAGTATATTATATTAGCACCATGATGCCGTGTTGTTGAGATTTAAACATGATCGTGAGACAATTTGATCGTACCTCAACAAGTGCAGAGCGTATGCGAAGAGAAAGCTCGTTATTGATTTCGAGCAAGATGTTGCCATAAGGGCCTGCACAAGCACAACCTCCCCTTGCTTGGATGCCAAAAAGATCGTTAAGAAGCTTAGTGACAAATCGTCCATGGAGAGGAAGCCTTTTGCGCCTCACGATCGCCAATCTATCATCCCCATGAAAAAATGAATCTACCATAGGAGGGTAGATGAGGAATGAAAATATCGGTAGGCGGTTCGCGCTTGTGTTTCCTAGCACTTTAACATTTGGATTGTCCACTAGCCTTTTCATGGCCATTTCAGTGTATATTTGTTCGTGTAGGTCTATCGTGTCATATCCAATGTACTCATTGACCCAAAATGCAAGGGATGCACGGATCTTTTGTATTATCGCTGGTGTACCGGCATCCTCTCTCTCCTCAATGTCATCATAGTACAATGTATCCTACAAGTCATGCGTCTTGAAATAGTCAATATATTGGACATTGACGCGTGAACTATGACATATTTGACTTGATTTTTTTTATTTCAGTTCTCACCTCCTCATTGAAGCCATTGACATAGTTCACGGTGCCACCCCCGCATGTTGAGGGAGGCTGAGAATTGAGCCGATACAACGATTTGTTCATAAGAAGGATACCTGGCGTACCCGGCCCCCCGATAAATTTGTGGGGGCTCAAGAACACCGCATCATAGCCATCGATTTCGCCGGACTTCATGTCAATTTTCACATGAGGACCACTACACAAAATGTGCTAAGAGTTTAGGTCACATATATGGTACGGTACAAGTTCAGTTGAATTTGAATTTTGAGCAAGTTTGGGTCCACGTTACCTGGCGGCGAAGTCGAAGCAAGCGAAGGCGCCGTGCTGGTGCAGGACGCGCGCGATCTCTCTCGTGTCGACGACGATGCCGGTGACGTTGCTGCACGCCGAGAAGGAGCCGAGCATGGGGCGGTCGGCGTACTGCGGCGAGGCGAGCGCGCGGCGGAGCGCGGCGACGTCGACGAGCCCGTCGCCGACGAGGCCGATCTCGACGACGTCGGCGAGGCTGCGCCGCCACGACAGCAGGTTGGAGTGGTGCTCGTAGGGCCCGACGAACACCACCCACCGCTCGTCCCACCGGAGCCCCGCGGCGAGGCGCGCGCGCAGCGGCGCCGCCGCCGACGGCGCGGCCACGCCCATCACCTCCTGCAGCCGTTTGATCGCCGCCGTCGTCCCGGCGCCGCAGAACAGCAGCGCGTCGCCGGCGCCGCCGCCCATGCACCGCTTCACGTACCGCGCCGCCCTGTGCATCAGCCGCGTCATCTTCCTCCCGACATGGCTGTCCTCCGTGTGCGTGTTCCCGTAGAAGGGGAGGACCTCGTTGAGGAGGTAGTCCTCGATGTAGCGGAGGCTCCGGCCGGACGCCGTGTGGTCGGCGTAGGTGAGGAGGTGGCGGCCGAACGGCGTGTCAAACTCGACGTCCTTGCCGACGAGCTGCGACCGGAGCCACTCCATCTTCTGCTCCGCCGCCGCAGCGCGCTTCTCCGACGTGTCTCTGAGGAGAGTCAACAGGGTGGTGGTGGGGCAAGGTCTGAAATTTAATTTGAACCCTCGGCATAAAACTATTTCGTCCGAAAATTTAGCAAAATTTATTTAAATTCTGTCAAAATTTATTTAACTTATACTCCTTTTATATTATAAGACATTTTGATCTTTTTATTTATAAGTAGAAGTTTGACCGAGCTTATACAAAACATAGCAACATTTCCAGCCAAAAAAATGTATATCACAATATAATTAATGTTAGGTTTAATGAAGCTAGTTTGATATTTTAGATATCTTGATCAAACTTAGATAAATTTAACTTACAAAGAATTAAAGCGACTTATAATATAAAACGAGAAGTAATTTTTTTTGTTAAAAAAAATTATTACTCGAAATTTCCCCAATAGATTTGTACATACCGAAATAGTAAATCTTGGGTGGAGGTTGGCATGGCGCCGCCCTTGCCAGCGACCACCGCTTCATCCACGACCGCCTCCGCCGCCGCCGTTTGTAATGACGGCATCCTACCTGCAAATAGCAAATTGCTGGTGCGCGTAGGACTAAACTTTGAGCTTGAAATTGAGAGCCATGGCATATAAGCTTATATATGGCCTTCTTCAAGTGGCAAGTGGCAGTTGACTAACGTTTTCTGGATAATGAAGTTCACTCAAGGACAGTTCTTAGCAGCCTTTGACGAATTCATATCATTAATTCATATATATGTATCAAGTGTGGGAGTTACTTTCTTATTTGTAGCACTGCTAATTTAAGTCTGTTGATCTTAATTTGTACTCTGGAGTTTATATATTTTATATTATCAAGAAAAAAATCTTGAAGATTAGACATTCGATAATATTGGTTATTACACATTAACATTACTAGGAAGGTAGCCCACGCATATGCGTGGGCATTTTTTTAATGTGTTTGAAATTTTATTACAAATATTTATTTGTGAGTGACATTTTATTGAAATATTTCTGATACTATTTTAATTTGTTTGGGATTGCTTTTAACGTTGGTTGTGATTTTTTTTCTATAATTACACTTATGTCATATAAATTCTAAACTAACATTACGTTCAACTGTGTTGTTTTAAATTTATGAGAAAACAGTATATATATCACAACATTAGAGTTGGTTCCTATGTCTCTTTTATGAATATTCAACATATCTTATTTTTGGAGTTATGAATTTTAGGACATATCAATTGAATGATAATTTCCAGTCAATTTCATAAACAATCACTTTGTCAATATTCTTGACTCAACGATCGGTGAATATAGATTTGAGTGCAAGAAAGAATTGATACAAGCCCTATATAGGTCAAGCTTATATATGGCCTTCTTCAAGTGGCAAGTGGCAGTTGACTAACATTTTTTGGATAATGAGTTTACTCAAGGACAGTCCTTAGCAGCCTTTGACGAATTCATATCATTAATTCATATATATGTATCAAGTGTGGGAGTTACTTTCTTATTTGTAGCACTACAAATTTAAGTCTCTGTTGATCTTAATTTGTACTCTGGAGTTTATTTTATATTATTAAGAAAAAAATCTTGAAGATCAGACATTGAATATTGGTTATTACACATTAACATAAGAACATATATATATAAGAGCTAATATTTTGTAAAAATACGTTAAAGTATAAATCTGTTGACATGCATAATTTTGTACACAATTAGCTGTACTCGTGATTTGACTACTAGTTGGTCAAAAACACAACGTTTGACTTTCCGATAATAAAATTTACTAATTGAGTGGGGTAAATACTTACTCCCTCCGTTTCTAAATATTTGACACCATTGACTTTTTAGCATATGTTTGACCGTTCGTCTTATTCAAAAACTTTTATAAAATATGTAAAACTATATATATACATATAAATATATTTAACCATGAATCAAATGATATGAAAAATTAATTTTTAAAATTTGTTAAATAAGACGAACGGTCAAACATATTTTAAAAAGTCAACAGCGTCAAATATTTAGAAACGGAGATAGTTTTTTTTGCGATTAAAGTGAGTACGTACTTGGGTGACAACTGTATGCATTAGAAGATATTTATTCGTACATTAACACTGCTTGGTCGTGAACTAGCTGAAATTGATTGTAGTTTAGCTCAATTTTTAGTATTTTACTGCTTCAATTGCGTGCATTCCGTGTGCATGCGTGTGTTGTTTAGACGCTTGATTTGGCCAGATCAAAATGACGATAGGCTGCTCGTGACTCGATATGACCAAATCATAGTTTTTTCTTTTACCGTGCTTAGCAAATCATATACTCTTATATCTCCTGAATAATAAATAAACTACAGAGAATTCCCTTCTGCACCCTTGGTGAATTCCAGTTATAATGTATGATCTTCTGATTAATATACATAGGAATAAGTTCACCAGACGTCTCTAAACTTTACGTTGAATCTGTACGAGGTCCCCAATCCCCAATACCAAAAATCTCTACCCCTCAATTATTACAAACCATGCCAAAAAAAAAGGTCTCAAAAAAGCAGTATGGTCAAAATTTAACCCCGGTTTCGCTCCTCAGGTATGGCGCGCTGGGGGGAGAAAGTCGACGAAGCGCTCCTTCTCGACGTGGCAGCAGAACACGCACCTATCCATCACTACAAGAAATATGACGTTCTGTGACGAATTCCTCGTGACATCGGAACTATTCGTCATTAGGACATTCCATTTTATGACGATTAGTATGAGATGGGGTGGCTTAGTGACGAAAAAAAGGTGTTCGTCGTTAATACCAACTAGAAATCGTCATAAAGTATTTCAATGGGACATTGTGACGAATATTAATTTGTCATAAGGGGCAAAAAAAAAACAAACGTCACAGATTTATATAATGCATTTCTAGACAAACATATTAAAGGTTGAAGCTATTTAATCAAGTGAATTAATAAGTAAACTAAAATTTTCCTTTAAAAATCATGGCCGGGAATATTTTTTTAATATTCTACATAGTCTAATTTATTTTCTGAAATTTTCTGTGAATTTTCGAAGCTCATTAACTAATTTTAATACCATAAAATTCATTTAACCTATTGAAATAAATGGAAAACAAATTAAAATCCCTCTCTCTGTCTTAGGCCTTTTTCGGCCCAAGTCTTACTCTCTCCCTCCCTTAGCCCGCAGCCCCTCTCTCTCCCTCCTTGGGCCAGCTTCCCCTTTCCCTCCCTTTTGCTCATCCCTCACCAATAAGTCTATTTTACATCCCTCCTCTCAATTCAAATATTTTTTCGGTTAGTAAATGATTTCAAATGAAAAAGTTGTCAACAACAAAGTTGTATAACTTATCAAGATATACAACTTTTGTTTTGGTCATTTTGCTATATATGACATTTTTTCAATAATTTGAAATTGAATTTCAAATTCTGACAACTTCAAACAATATTTTTAAATAATAAATGATTTCAACTGAAAAGGTCGTCAATAACAAAGTTGTATAACTCATCAATATCTACAACTTTTGTTTTGATCATTTTGCTATATGACTTTGTTTCAATAATTTGAATTTGAATTTCAAATTGTGACAACTTCAAACAATATTTTCAAATACTAAATGATTTCAACTAAAAAAGTCATCAACAACGAGTTGTATAACTCATCGATATCTATAACTTTTATTTTGGTCATTTATTCATCCGATAAAGTGGTAGTAACATTGTTCACAAAATTTACACATCTCTTATATGGTTTTATAAACTATAAGAGATATATGTAAATTTTGTGAACAATGTTACTACCACTTTATCGGATGAATAAATGACCAAAATAAAAGTTATAGATATTGATGATTTATACAACTTTGTTGTTGATGACTTTTTCATTTGAAGTCGTTCACTCATAAAAAATTCTATTTGAAGTTCTCAAACTTTGAATTTCAAATTTCAAATTGTTTAAATATAGTCAGATGGAGAAATGAACAAAATAAAACATTTGCATCTCGATGAGTTGTACAACTTTGATTTTGGTGACTTTTTCATTTAAAATCATTTATTAACCCCAATTTTTGTTTGAAGTTGTCAAAATTTGAAAATTCAAAATTTGAATTATTCAAATGAACTTACTTGTATAAAGGAACAATACAATAGTTGTAGATCTCGATGTGTTCTATAATTTTGTTGTTTATGATTTTTGCATTTGAAACACCGGTAGTTTGTTTTTGACATCGTTGAGTCCAAACCTTTTTAACCTGAAATGACATTTTTATCCATATAATTTTGTGGGAGTACTTAAGATACACCATGGATATGTTAGTAAATTCGCGTCGGATTGCTTCTTATCAGAGCCTGTTCTCCAAACCCTAGCCAGACTGCCACCGCCGCTGCCACTCCATCCACTCTGCCACCGCCGCTGCCGCCACCATCCACTCCCCACCGACACCGTTCGTGCGACGCCGCCACCGTCCACTCCGCCGCCGCCATCGTCCCCTTCCGCCACCACCATCCACTCCTCCAATAGCTCATCTGCCGCCGCCGCGTCGTTCAGCACCGGCGGCGGCGGCCTACCCTCCCCGTTCCCCGACCTTGGCGCCCCCCTCTCCGCCACGAACACCTCCTCCCCGTCGCTCCAAGGGTGGAAGCCCTGGGAGCGGCGGCTGCGGTGGGGCGAAGTCGGCGCCGCCGCGGTGGCCGGCGACCGTCGGGGAGTTGACGCGTGTGCAGATGCGGATTTCGGAGCCCGCCGACACCTCAAGACACCGACGACCTCAAGCCGCCGTCCACCTCAAGATGCCGCCACCTCAAGCCGCCGTCCCCGAGCCCGACACATGCTCAAGGACGAGGTAGGTCGGCAGCCCTCCCTCCTTCTCTCTCGATCGGGATTTGTACTGATTTGGTTGGTTCTGATGCGTGTTGGATTTGTGGTGGCGATGCAGCGGCTCGCGCAGCACCAGCCGACGCAGTACCCGACGTCGTAGAGCTGAGCGTCGCCAAGAACAAGTTCAAGGCCTTCGACCTCGGCGGCCACCAGATCGCCCGCCTCTGTTCTAATTCTACCACTCTTTCTTTTTTTCCCCCTCTCCTGCTGCAGCTTTTGTGCTACTTGTTGATGGATTTATGATTTTATTCCTTGAGGGACGGATGGGGTGATTTGGGTCAGAAGCAGCTCTTGTTTGATTGGAACAAACTAGGGTTTAGGCATGGGGGACGGATGGGGTGATTTGGGTCGGAAGCAGCTCTTGTTTGATTGGAACAAACTAGGGTTTAGGCATGGGGAGTATTGGGGATTAGACATGCACCTGGGTTAATGAAGAATCGGGCATCTTACTCGAATCATGGAAAGAAATAATCAGTGCTTTCATTCATTATTGATTGGTCGATTCAGATCTTGCAAAATGAACCATCCGATTGGGCAATCGGATATGTTGCTGGTGTTAGTCCTCAGTTTCAGCCATGAGCTCTAGTCTCCAGTATTCAGATCAGTTACAATAAGAGTGGTCACTTTTAGCAAAATTGGTTGGTTCTCTTGTGAACCTTATTTCATACAAGCTAGACAAAAAAGTTGCACAGAGAACTTTTCTCTGGTAAACTTGACCTGTTTGTTTCATCTTAGTCGTATATTACCTTCTGTGTTTAAGCTGGCCTTTTGGCTTTTGCAGTTTATGAAAAAAATGCAAAATTGAGGGTAGTGTCATACTCCAATCCATAAAAAACCAAAAAAGGTACTAAAAAAAACTAGCTTTTTTGCTTATTAGTGGTAGTGTATCTAAAAGCAGTGTAGATACAAAGCTTTAGCTTTAGCTCCAAATAATATATTCCTAAAATCTTAGTACTGACTACATGGTCCATGATTTATGATTTTGTTTCTAACCATGGAAATAGGGAAAAAAATAGATTAGACTTACACAGTGTGCTGTTTCAAACATGAAAAACTGGATGCATATATCACCTTTTTTTTTTGCTTACATGGTACAAAAATTGTTTATCTCACGAAATATTACAAATGCATTTCACAGATTACTTAAGGAAGAACAATTATTCTTAATGATAGTGTCCCTTTAGTCACAATTATGAGATTTAGGCTCTGGTAACACAGAGTAAATTGCCTAACATATGTGTTGCTTCACTCTGTTTTTTTTTACCAAACACTTTCTTTTTAACTGAGGATAATGGATGGATTAGGGTGAGAAGGATGACAAGATAATAGCAGTTTGTGCTGATGATCCTGAATACTGCCACTACAATGACATCGGTGAGTTGTCTCCTCACTGCCTCCAAGAGTTCTAATGCTTCTTTGAAGACTTTATCCTCACCCGCATTCATACTCTTGACTAGCCCGCTGCAGTTTATTTTCATATGTTTTCCCAGCAAGATCTAATTAGATACTTAGACGAGATTTTGACTTTTCATATGGTAACTTTGTTACTTCTCCTTGCGCATTCAATCGCATGAAGGTCAGTTTTTTCGTATTGCTGTTTATTTGTATTTGTTCTCTGCTAGTACTGGAGTACTTGTTATGAATGTTGTGTGGAATTAATTAAGCATGTTAATTAAGTAAATTGTTAATTTAACATGAGGTCATTTCTTGGTTATCGATCGTCTTGTACTTTAGTTCTTGAATTGTTTGCTGGGCTGGCACTTTGGAAACGCATAGCAAGCTTTCAGTTACTTAGAGATAGAACGCTTTCAGTTACTAGTAGTACACTAGTTGTTTGTTTGATTTGACCAAGAAATCTGAAGAGATATGGATTGTGTTCTTTGAAATTCAGTGCCTTTCTTCACTGTACTTATCGTGTGCGGTCATCCATGCTTGGACGAATTTCTTCTCTCTTTCTTAAGATCAAAGAACTACAGTATACTATTTCTGAGTTTACTTACAGTGCCCTAGGATTTGAACTCTATGATGAGTGTCTTCTTTATTCCTGTTTTAGTAAGAAGTTAAAATGATTGGATGAGTGGTGTTCAAACGAAGTCAAAGTTTGATTGCAGTATAGCTCTGATCTGCAACAGGTTCTAGTTCCCATTAAGGTACTGAATACTGAATATATGTTCTACCTAAAGACCATTAAACTGATATCCATTTAATTTTGTTGCTTTAGGTATTTCTCATCTTATGTCTGGTAGATTTAGTTAGCCGTAGCTTGAAATTCTAAGGAAATATAGCCATACCTTCCAGTCTATAATTTTTCTAGCCAGCAATGTCAGACCAATCCACATTAAAATTCATCTTAATGTACTGCTATAGTGCTACTATGGAATTTATGAGGAATGATGTGCTTCATGTTGAAGATACTGCTTGAATTTTTTTATTCATCTATTATACTGCTTGAACAGTAGAAGAAACTAGGATGATATGGCTTATACTGATGTTTTATCTTGTGCATATGCAGTGCTGCTAAGCTCACTTTGAAGATCTTGGTCGCGCGACATCCGGTGAAATTTTGGTTGCTGTGATTGTATTTGGAATGTGGCTGGATTTGGCTGTTAACTGTGTTGTAAAATTTGTGTTGTATTGGATGTTTGTCGGGTCGTGTTAGATGCTAATTGGGTTGTAACCTTTGTGCTATATGGGTGGTTGCTGTGTTCGATTGGTGGGCCTATATGGGCTTAGCCCACTTGTTATTTGATACTAATTTAAATGACTAATATGATAGACTGAAAATGGTGTGGTATAATGTTTGGGCTTATATGGGCTTTTGCATTGGACTTGGCCCATTTATTATTTGATATTAAAGCAAATTGATATAATATAATTGGGCTGAAAGTATGCTACATCATAGATGGGCCAGGCTAAAATCTAGTCGGGCTTGCCATTGGGCTAAGCCCATAAAAATAGTGCTCAATACATGGATTTTAATGGGCCATCAGATATTTTATGACATTTTTAGCTAGATAATGACGAATATAAGCGTCACAAAGTTATGACGACTGAAGGATCGTCACTAGATTAATGACGAAAAAAATCAGTCGTCACTAGATTAATGACGAAAAAAATAAGGTTTCGTCATAGAACGCCATTAGAGACGCATGATAGGTGACGAATGAATTTTCGTCACGCGAGCGTCACAGAATACGAAACGTGACGAAAAGTTCAATGTTTGTGACGTAAATGAAGCGTCATCTATCATAAGATCTCTTGTAGTGCATGTACAACGTCGTCCTCACCGCCCGCACCAGCAAGATGAACTCCCTCATGTAGGTGCCGGTTCTTTTTAAAAACCAGCACCTATTACTTGTGTCAGAAAAATATGCCGGTTTTTATTGAAAATCCGACACCTTTTAGTATCCATACCATTGGAATAGTTGGCGCGAGGCCACCTAAAAACCGACATCTTTGTGGTTAAAGTAATAGGTGGCGGTTTTTTTAAAAAACGACACCTATGATATATTATAGGTGCCGGTTTTGTAAAACCGAGCCGAACCACACAAGGAGCCCTGCATGTTCTTATCCATCCATCTAGAGTCAACAGACTCTCTCTCTCTCTCCTCTCTGCCTCCTCCCTGGTGGCTGAGGGAGGTGGCCGCTGCAGCAGCGGGAGGTGGTGGCAACAGCAGCGGGAGGAGAGGTGGCAGCGGCGGCGGCGGGAGGTGGTGGCGGCAGAGACGAGAGGCGTCGGCGGGTGAGGGGGGGGCGCCCTCCCCTCCGCCAGATCCGGCAGGACAGGAGGCAGCGGCAGTGATGGCGGCGGCATAGGCGGGAGGTGGCGGCAGCGGGCGAATGGGGGAGGAGAGGCGGTAGCGGCGGCCGACACCCTCCCCTCCTCCAGATTCGGCAGGAGGGGAGGCAGAGGCAGCGGCAGCGGGACTCATCATCCTCCTCAGCCACCACTACATCATCAGCAACCGATGATGGCGTAGACGTGTAGTCCCATTGGCGCCGGTAGCTATCGGTTGGGCGTCGCAAGCTCCTGACCGGCCCCTTCTCCTGTGCCATCGGTACTATCTTATTTCGTCATTCTTTTTCCTTGTCTACAACTTCTTGAATTTATATGCAAAATTTTGGAGAGACCTGGTAGTTTTTTGGTACGTGTTGAACTGAACCGGCCAGACTATTTCCGTTGATAATTTTGGAGAGACTTGATAGTTTTTTTGGAGGGCTCATCTTGTTCATGTTCTTGTTCTGAATTGATGTGTTCTTGATTGTTCGAGGTGAATGGGAGTTGCTCGGTTCGATTCGAGCCGATGCATCGAGCTGACTTTTTTTTATATTCCTCGAACCTTAAAGGTGATTGTTCTAAGACCAAACACTAACAAAATTTAGGTAACTTTTTTATGCTATTGGCATATTTTAATAGCAAACCAAACACTAACAAACCATTGTTCAAATGCCAAATAATTTGGTGGGGCAATGTCCCTTAGAGTTATGTAAAAACGATGTATTGTACAATGTACATACATTGCTCTTATGCAGTGGCAATTGCCCCTTTTATAGCACTTGCGCCTATACAGTCAGACACGCATCCACTCGCTCACCGGCATGCATTGGCCTTTTCTTGCGGCTGTGTCTGTGTGTCTCTATTTATTACTCCATCACGCGACAGTACAAAATATCCTGTTAAAAAAAAGGAAACGTTCGCGCTCCTCTAGTGCCAGCAAATTACAAGGGCCCAAAATTTTTTGATCCTGATCTGGGCCACACTGCTACAGGCTGCGTCGGCCCAAAGATTAGATATCGCTCTATTTGTAAAGGGGCAATTACAAATTTACCACTATTTTGAATCGTTATTGCAAGACTGCCACTAGAAAATTGCAAAAATACCACTAGAACTGTCATTCGAGTGGCATTCTTGCAATATTGAAAAAACCAGTGGCAAATTTGCAAATGTCCCATTTGTAAAATATCGCTCAAATTAGGCAGGCTGCTGAGGTATATCGCTCAATTTGATCCTGATCCACGAATCCGGATGCAATGCATGCATCCCCAACTTATAAAACCATATAAACGAGATCCCTCAGCAGTATTGTCTTCTGTTTTGGTTGACGTGGCACCTACATGGCTCCTTTGACTAGTTCTTAGTTCCACGTAGCACTGACGTAGCGCTTACGCGACAATTTGATCCGGAAAAATAATAAAAACTGTGGGGTCCACAATTTAGTTTCACAAAAAATAAAAATAAAATTTGGTAGGGCCCATGTGTTGGCTTCAAACAATCGATTGGATGTCATTCTCACTACTCTACCCTTCTCTCTATCCTCTCTCTCCACTCTTCTCTATATCATCTTTCTCTCTCTCTCTAGTCGGTGGAGCAGGCCGGCGGCAAGAAGGGCGCCAAGGCCGCCTGCCCGACGACGATGACTACAAGCCCCCCGTGTCACCGCCCCACCCGGAGACGACGAGGATGGAGAGCAAATAGCGATGAGGCTGCATAGCGCTAGCGCCGCTCTCCTCCTCGTCGGCCACGGGACCGGGAGCAACCGCGGGGGCCCTCACTAACGGTGGTCGTGGGCAGGGAGATGTCGGTGGTGGCCTCCCCTGCAGCCGACTCGGCTTCTTCGCCGTCAAATTCTTCCGGGGCGGCAACGGCAACGAATGACTTGGCGTCGGGGGGCGCCCGCCGGGGCCTCCTCCCCCTTGGCTCTTTCCCTTATTTTATCTCTTCCGCCTCTCTTCCACCGAACCTAGCTGATCCGGCCTCCGGTGATTAATGCAGCGGTGGCGGTGGGGTTGTACCGGTCGGCGGGGATGACGAGGGACACCTTGGCGGCGTCGGGTCCGCCTCTACGCGCGGTTGCGGAGGAGGCAAGGATGGAGATGAGGAGTGTGCCAGTCGCTGAGGGCAGCGCGAGGATGGAGATGAGCCGCGCACCGCTCCTCTACCTTCACCCGCCGGCCGCCGCACGTCGCTCCACTCCCGCCGGTGTGGTTGAAGGAGAGAGGGTGAGGTTGAAAGAGTGGGACTCACTGATATGTGAGTCCCATTATTTATATTTTTTTACTGACATGTGGGTCCTGCATATTTTGTTTTAATTTTTTTATTTTCAATTTTGCTGTTTTTTTTTCAAACTCCACGTAAGCACCACATCAATGCCACGTGGGATGAAGACTTAGTCAAAGGAGCCACATAGGTGCCACATCAGCCAAAACCAGGGACAATACTGCCGAGGGACGTCGTTTGCACTGGTTTTGTAAGTTGGGGGACGGGGTGTATCTGTTTTTTGTTTAAGGATGAAAATCAGACTGAGCAGGGATATAAAGTGAAAAGATAGGAATAAGTCCACTTTGACTTCCTCAAGTATAGCTCCAATCTGATTCATATTTCTCAATCGTAATAACAGATATCTTCGCCCTCCAACTAATAAAATCAGTGCAGTTTGACTCTCTCGGCGGTATTGGTGGTGTTTTCGCTAACATGGCACGTTGACTTGATCCATCTCGTTGAGTCAGCATGTGGTGTCCACATGTCATTCTTTTCCCTTATTCCTCCTCCCCCCTCTCTCTCTCCTTCCTCTTCCCCGTTCGGACTTGGACCCTTCCTTCCTAACTGGCTTCACCACAATGGTGCGGCGGTGGCGAGATGACGATAGAGAGCGACGACGGTGACGGCGAGACGATGACATGGAATGGCAGGGTTATGCTCTCTCTCTCTATATCTATCTCCATCCCAGCCCCTTCTGCACAGGCTATCCTTGCAGTCGCGCCACTCACTTCCTCTCCCTTACTCCTCCCGTCTCTCCCCCTTCTATACCGGTTATCCTGCGGCGACGAGGATGTACTAGGGTGACAACAAGCGGATTCCCGCCGCCGATGCCATTTGCTCCTACCCCGACAAGCGGGGCGTTGTGGTCACGTCGCACTGGTGACTGGTTCCTCCTTGGCGTGATAGTGAGTGCCTCGGCGTCGTCATTATCCTTAGCATATAAAGGATGAAAAAAATTGTTGGATGGCATATAAGAAAACTCGCAAACTCATTAAATAAAGAAGTTGAAGTTGTGATCTTTCGATGGGATAAAAGTCTATTATTCTATCCGTCTCAAAATATAATAACTTCTAATAGCGTTCAAAATTTATCCCAAAATATAACTACTTCTTTATCAACATTTTCTTCCTAGCCAGTCACAACCTCCACCATTCAATTTCCCCCACATAACTATATTTCTCAACCAACCACAATATTCCCCCATTGGGGTAGTATGTTAGTAGTAACTTATGATACATACTGCCTCTTAATTAATAAGTAAATGAATAATATGATAAGATTAAAATTGAAAGTAACGGTCACCCCCATTATAAAACTTAGGGGTTGTTTGGTTCATTCCGTCACTTTGCTAAACTTTACCACACTTTTCTAAGACATTTGTTTGTTTCACTTTCAAAGTTGTGGCATATGCCAGTTTTTCAATTCAAAGGCCCACATGTCATACACTCATGTTTAACCAAATCTTGCCTAAGGTGTGGCAATCAATTTATAAGCCATACATTTGGCTAGGTTTGGTAAGGAGGTTTGGGGTCTATTCAGATTAATGCCAAAATGAACATTATCAAAATTTAGTAATACCAAATTTTTGGCAAATTAGCAATATTGCCAACGGCTTAATAATGTTGTCAAAATTTCATACACATTACCAATATTTGGTAACAAACTAAATGTAACCACATAGGTTTCAATTTCATCAAATAATGGTATTATTGAAAATATCATCAATCTGAATATGCCCTTGGTAATGTTTGGAAGTG